ATAGAAATAATTATATAATTATAGAATTTATAGAATACTATTTTATTTAGGAATCCACTGACCACAACTAGCACCTGGATAGCGTGTTTAGTGTGAGTTACTGTTGTACATCTGTTCCTGTAAATGTGTTTTGGCTTATACAACGTATTTTAACACCCTCTGTTATCTTCGTACTTAAGCAGTTCTATTCACAAAATGTTCTGTTTAGTAAGCGCTTGTATACTTGGCGACTTAGTCACCTCGCTGTTCAGAAAAACTCATATAAAATGAGCTTATTATAATCAACCTAGCTGGTATACTCATTTTGTTAGCAGCTATGGTTAACAACATGTATAAATGGTGTTATTTATACAATTTGTTTTCCACAGTGCATTTTTATTTCCCCAGCGAGACCAATATCCGTCTCATAACTAAAGGCAAATCACATGGCTACTTACCCGTTAATGCTCCTCTGACCAGCAGCCACCTTCAGCTCCCCTCCCTGTCACGCAGGGTCATGGCCAACCCTTCCTCAGCGTTTTCTCCGTAGCCCCTTCCCAGCTGACGCTCAAGCCTGACCGAGGAGCACAGCTCACCACCCTGGCCTCCTAAGGACAGCCACAGAGTCAGGGCTTGGAAACTCTCCATCACTTCAACTAACTTCAGAAAACAAATCATTGGGCAAGTGGGAATGTAATCTGGCTTCTTCTATGCTCAGTATGTGAGATCATATGCAAGAGGCTCTGAAGGTGCAGTTTTATAAATATATTGGGTACGATATGTGGCTACGATGCTTCTGGAAAGGCTGATAATTGCCCTGAAATGTGGTGATGAGTTCTGCCCTAAATATTGTCTACACCCTTTCAAATGCAGACTCTTCCTGTAGCAGGACTGGGACAGAAGGGGCAAGAAGAACCATTAAAGCTTGGGGGCAATGGTGAAGATGGAAAGGCTGATGAGGAGAGCACATAATACATGTCTGAAGGATTATCTGGGACAACCAGGATGAGAGGGAATTCAGAAATACATGGCTGATCAGACTGGTAGCTTCAGAGTAATCACCTGGCAAAGATATTAATACAACTTCAAAAAGAGCGATGGATGTAGACTCCAAAGAGGCAACGAAACAGAAAAAATAAATGCTCCCAGGAAGTATGATTTGAAGGACAGAGCCTTGTGCACTGGGCCACCGCAAGCCTTGGCACACCAAAATTTCAAGCCATGGTGGCACTGGGCTTTGACAAAAGTGTCATTCAGGAATCCAGAATTACCTGGAATTCTGCTACATTGAGCAGGAAAACCAATCAGTGTTTGGTTATCTTTGTGCACATAATCCAGATTTCTGTGTTGCTTGTTTGGCTGCTTACTTCAGGGAAAGGTTTTTTTTCAACGAACTAGAAATGGTATGGCCTAACTAAAATAGCTAGTCCTACCTACTCTCCATTTGTGAAAAGCCTCTTTCTTTTATCTTCTTTTACTCTCTTCACAAAAGAATTATAAATTCTGTTTCAAAGCACAAACTCTTCACTAATCTGTCTAGCTAGAACTAAAATTTAGTTCTAAAATATGGTCATGTGTTTTGAACTGATAGGTACCCCTTCTAACCACTGCTACTCTTTGACTTCCCTGATTTTGCTGTTCACGGGACACTTAGTCAACCTCCAAGATAATGAATTCCTACAAAGTAAGACTGAAGTCACACTTGGAGCTATTACTTATAATAATTCACAGAGACTAGAAATAACTTTATTTTCTATACTTACAAGTCAAACAGGCCTGCTGAAAAGCAATTACAAACTCAACATGCGGGTTCTTTTGCATTTACTGAAATGTGTTGATGCTGGAAATGAGTAAGCTCCCCATTTATTTCCAATTAAACTAAAGAATGGTATTTTTTAGCACTGGTCACAGCTCTGCATTTTCTTACCACTGTTCTATGCTCATTTATCAACAGACGATAGAACAAGGCCACCTTACTTTAGGGATTAACTCTCGCAAACTAACTACACTAAAAGAACTCTTAAATAGTTTGTACTAAATTAAATATCTCTAAATTCAATAATTCTCAATGACAATGTCTTATTAAATAAAATTGTAATAGTGGTGAATTTTCAGCTCCACTGAAGTCAATAGCAAAATTTACAGAACTTCATCCTCAGACTCTATTCCACTTCCAAAACTGGGATAGAGGTATCAGTCCTGAAAAATACTGCACCGATTTCCTTCTAAAATAACACTAAAGCAGCGAGTCACATCTCAGCATACTACATCAGATGAACTCAATTTTTGAGTTAATCTCAATGTTGCCATACATATACACACATATATATATATTTGAGTTCAGTAAGAGTCAGAAGCCCAGCGTGCCGTGGTGCTGCAGTTCCAGCAGAGGTCAGAAAGTCAAAGCACCGTTTCAGAATTCACAGGAAATGGTCATTTACCTTTAGTGGTCACACTAACGACAACTTCAAGCTGTACTCAATTTTCAATTTCATACTTATCTCACTGTTCTTTAACTGCAGTCCTTAAAAGCTCCCCAAGAGAAAGAGAGCATCAGACAAAAGTCTAACGCAGATCTGGAAGGCAGATCAGTAACAGATACTGGGCACAAAACGATGGAGCTCTTCAAGAACTCTCAGTGGTGACGTTAAGTCTGCTCCCTTGCAATTTTACAGAAGGTTTAACTTCTCCAGGAGCACAGCGAGGCCATCATTAAATGGTTTTGATAATCTTTAAGATTTTGCAAGTCGTATTGGAATTCCTCTGTGCCCATTAACTGATTTTATATCATATGTAAAGGTTTTCTCATTTATTTTGCTTTTAAGTCATATGGGCATCACCGCTTTTCAACACATTGTGTAGGCAGAAAATGTTATATTACTGGACATTTCACCGAGTGGCAAGAGTATTTTCTCCACAGAAAGGAACTCTTTATAATAATGTTCATAAGTAGTGTTTAGTGGCTCTCCTGTGGCAATAGGTTTAGATAAGACATGGACAAACTAGTTTGTACAGTATACAGAAACTTCTCGGTAGCAGGCAACAGATAAACACATACCAGATACAATGCTGACAGAAATAATCCATTTTGTTGCAGACTAGGAGTAGATCAATACAATACATCCCAATTAAGAAAACATAAAATTACTTTTTAAAATTACTGTTGAAGCTGTACTCTATATCAATAATATTACAATGATCAAACAGATGTGGAAAAAAAGGTTAGATCCGCAATGCACTTGAATCCCAAAATTCTTATGTCTGTTCCACATGAAAACAATGATTAATATTATTGGTCAAGTGTTTAAAATTAAATCAAGCCCATGAATACAGGAGATGTAACCCTCAGAGGGTAATACTGACTTTGGCTCCTTTCTGGGGAAAAACACCTACACATATATTCTTGAATAAGAATCTTTCTTCAGAGGTTAACAGGAAACTTCAAGTTGCTTCAAGGTAAATACTAGCTCCTGTTATCCAAGAAGATAAGAAACACAAATGCATTGGTGGTGTTATGATGTTGTAATACATTACTGAATTATACAAGGGCTTTATTTCCCAAAATTCCTGTAACTTGTATGACTTGATAGGGACACAGACTACTGATGACAACATTCATATATCAGATAATAAAGTGCTTTCATAAAGCATCACAACTTCCTGTGTTTCCAACAGAAGTATTTAGTAAAATGTTATTAAAGTTGTTAACCTGTGAGCTGCTGCACCATAAACAAAACAATCAGTCAAAACGCAGGAATATGATATTTAAATCTTCCCATACAATTCTGAAGAAAAAAATTGCAACAAAACCCAGCAGTGGTACCTCATGTCCTTTTTTCAGCATCATGCTGAAATGCACACTGAAGAGCCATAGGATAAACCTTCCAAGCTCTATTTCACATTGGTGATGTGCATTAAAATATCCACTCTTTTTAGACAAAGGATAAGGCTTCTACCAAAAAACCACTGTGCCACTTGGCTGCGTATCTTTGGTATGTTTATAGCGCAACTATTCTGTTTCATCTCTAAAGGGGAAAGTTTTCCAAAGCACTGCATCCCCTGCCCCCGAGAACCTACTGTGAACTCCTACATTCACTAGGACCTCAGACGCTAACCTACTGCTTTAAACAAATGAAGAACGTGCAGTGAAAATCATTTCTTCCTGTTTTGAAATATACTACTGAAATAAAATTAAACCATGCCAGATTTCACGTGAGAAAGTAACAGCACGTTTCAATTCTCTTGCAAGAGTTTAGGAGCATACAAATGCGAGCATAAATTTCATGGCAATTTTTAAAGACAGATATCCAAGGTGCTACTTGAAAACATTTGTAATTTAATTATTGTTCATCTAGATTTAGTCAACATTTGTCTCTACAAAAAAAAGACACCTGTTTTTCATTTTGCTGAGATACTTAGAATTATTCAAAATGCATAGAAAGTCTAGAACTACTTAATTAAAAGATATTGCAAGCATGTTTTTCTAAACTTATATTGCTAAAGCCTTGCTGTATTGTAAGTTTTATTGGAGTTGGCCTCTAAACACAGTACCAGGTATTCACACAAGCCTGCTATACACCTGTATTTCATACTGCTATTTGAGTAGGCATACCAACACACAACTATAGTACACATCATCCAGTGGCAGTGCAATAAAACGTAGCGTCACCGAAATGCTATTTAATGATCTTTCAACTTCTGAACAATAACATTCTTTCTGAACAGGTCTGTCCAACCAAACTTGCATATTGCTGAACACTGGCTTCGTCGCTTGGGCCCTTCCTTCTTTTCTTATAGACACTGTAAGGCATCACAGTTCTCTTGTGAAGTACTCTCACTCTGCCCAGTTCCTTAATACGACCTTCATCAACTGCAACGAGAATCAGAGAACACAAAAATTAGCTGTGTATATTGTCCATATTATCTTAATTTATGCAACTAACTTCAATATGCATAATGAAAACTGTATCAAGTAATAAAACTAATCTGCAGATGAACAGCAGATGAAAGCAGCGCTGATCTACCGAGCCGTCGTCTCGACTCACGGTTGAAAACAAAACCTAGCTTGCAAAGTAAGTGTATTTGTGGCGTGTGAAAAAATAAATCACGCATCGCACATTTCTAATGGTGATATATAGCGTTTCTGAAAATACCTCTACTGCTGTATTTTAAAATTCACATTCATTTAACGCGTGCTGGAGCCCACTGCCAGAAGTGAAACTCTACCTGGGAAATACTTTTGAACACAACCGACCAGAAGAGACTTGCTGTTATTGCCATATTGCACTTAATTACTACACCGCTTGCAAAATCCACCAGCACAGAGCGCTCCCTTTTCCCAACTGTGAAAAGTGTATTAAAACCAGCAAGAAGCCTTAGGTAAGCATCAGGCAATAAACTCCCTTCCCAGGTGAAACTCCCTGGCCCTCCAGCTCCCATCTTTTTTCCCTCATTTATACTGGTTTCTGAGTTTCTCTAGTAGAATGAAGTTCAACACATGCCCTTGCCTCAAGTCTGATCCCCGCGCTCTGCAGACTGACAGAGTTAGCAGTGCAAGCACTAGCTGGGTAGGCACGATAGAATTCCTCAAGCCTTCAAAGGTACACACACCATAGCTGAATCTCAGTAGCCTCACCTACAGACCCCTTGTGACTTAATTTAACCAGAATCATACACATAAGAGCACCTTTGAACAAGTTAAAACTTCCTTATTTTTATGAATCCAACTGATGCTACTGTTGCTGAATAATAATGTTCTATAGCCCCTGCATGTCAGAAAAATTGGCCCTACAATGTAGAAAACGCTTTAAAGAGAGAGAACATGCCACACGCCTAAAGCCACTGCAGGATAAATTAATAAAATTAACATAAAGTACCAGTAAAAGAAATCTCGGAGTTTTCTGAACTTCAGGTTTAAAAAGTCACCAACATAAGAGTCAACTTAAACACACAAGCTGAAATATGAGTTTGAGAATAGAACCATATAAATTCAAATAGTAACAGAGATGCCTACTAGGAGGCCAGCATCTGGGGACATAAACTATGCAATGACTCAATCTTTTTTTGGCATCAGAACATTATTCTGACTGAAGAGACAGCACAGGTAAGTATCGTTGCTTAGCTTTAAGTACTGCATCAATCTGCCCCAGATTAAAGTATTTTCATGTACTTGCTTCATTTAGGTTGGAACATTTAAGGCTCCTTGAAGGGTATCCATCCTACACCATTCCTTGCTTGTAATACCCGCGGTGAAGCCTTCTGCTGATCACTGGTTGACTCAAAATCAAACCAACTGCTATGGAAAACCACGTAATTCAAATAGCTACTTCGTGGGCAAAACCAGTTTGTTTTTCTTTTTTTATAAGAGAATAAACAGAGGTAGAACTTTGTCAGCAAGTTTCACAAATGGTGATAGATCCGAAGTGCAGGGATAGGACGCTAGCTCGGGGAAGCAAATCGGTCACCAAGTCCTTTCTCTTTTTACACACCTGAAGCTCACTAGGCTTGCCACAGGTAAGCAACTTGTCTGGAAGAATCTGAAAAAATCTTTAAGACAAATCTCTATTCTCATGTAGCCCTTACTATAGAAAAGCTTAATATTCTTTATGTTTTATTAAAGACAAAGGAGGTCATTAAATGCTTTTCTTTGCAAGACATGCTTAAGACCCTGCCCTTATTCATCCACAGAAACGCCTTATAAACGTTTTTCTGCTGATTGCCTCAATTTAGTATGTGAAACTTAATGAAGCCTGCTTTACGAAGTTTAGAATGACTTCATTACTTTTATCTATGTTTTGATTCCTAACGTGAAAGCACAATGTATTTCTTAAGACTTAACTAGGAAAACGTGGTTTGAAGGAAGAAAAACTGAATAGTACTTGCTAAGATTTCGTTCTCCACTAATTATTGTTGGCAATTGCTTTAGATAAACACCCAAGTGAAAAACACTTTATGGCTTTCTCTCCCTCTTTGAAATCCATTAGGTTTTTGAAGTGTGGCCAACCCTTTTCTGATATCCCAACAGGTTGTTTTTACTGCCAGCCCAACTGCCTCTTCTGTTACATCCTCCTCATTTCTGAAAGTTCACCAAGGAAAAATTTGCAAGTTTAGCTTCTGGAGATGACACAAGTGTAAAGTTATTTTAACTTCTTAAATTTGCAAGTTTATATTTACGGCACCTCTAGGCTGACTGCAAGTTTGTGTCCTGAAATGGATTTACGCCAAGCCTAGCCTTCATAGTCTCATGCCAAAAGCACTTTCAAAGCCGTTCACTGCTCACTGTTTGATAATGATTGCTTTCAAATAATACTGACGCCTGATACTCTGGATGAGTTCATCTTTTGGCTTGTAGCGTTCCTGGCCCCAGATTCAGTTTCTTACAGTAACTGAAGCTACTGTACCTTCAGTTTCACTGTAGCCTTACTGGCTCAGCTGAACTCTGTTCCTGTTGCTCAGCATTTATACCCTTACTCCACTTTTACTCATTACACAGCACACAGTTGGTGCAGTATCCTTCTTGCAATCCGGCCCATGCTAGCTCTAGCTGTGCAGCTATATGAAACAGTTACGATGATGAGGCTTCTAGCAAATTTGTTAAGCACTGCAGCCAAGAGTTTGCTGGGGAGAAGTAAGGCTTGCCAAAGCATGCTGTAGACCAGACCTTGCTTGGACTGTGGCACAGGTTTAGAACGCAACCCTCAAGCAGGAGAAGGCTCTCCCAGAGCAATCAAGAAAACAGAAGTATCTGGAAAAACGTCACTGTAATATAAATACTTCAGACATGTTTTAAGCTTAACACAGACTGTATAAACTACATATATAAAGACTTCGTAATGAGTTTATCATCAGGAAAAGTTTAAACCCAGATACGTTTGGTCTTACAAACTTACATTTGATTGACTGTATTTATACTTCTTCTACACATTAAGGTTGATTCCAGATTCTTCAAATAAGGCTTGAAAGGCAGAAAAATAATAGTCCTTAAAAATTCCAAAATGTCTTTACAAAGATTACCTGTTTTAGTGAACATTTTTCCATTGACTCCCTCCAAAATCAAAACTTTCACCATAATATTCTGTAAATGTACTTAATATATAATTTAAACTCCATGTGAAAAAGAAACCTTTTACCGAAATGTTAAATATGAGTAAAATAATCTCAGGTACATAGTTAAGCTTTTAGAGGAGAATAGGAACTTGTGTCACCATAATAACAAATCCCTAAGTTAAAATTCAGCCACATATCAACTGCTACTGCTCTGGAGGCAACACCATATGAATTCAGGAAAGTACTCCCTTTATTCATGATTTAAACTTAAGCAGAATGGCTTCAAGAGAATTTAATGGAAAATAAAAAGAGGTTGAGCTCCAGTATTATTTAAAAAGAAATTACCCCCCAAAAAGGAAAATTAAATATCTGCTCCTGCTGAGCGGCACATGATGAAGTTTGCTTTATATTTAAGAAGATGCCAACTGACTTCTAATACCCCTTCTCTGTGTGACTGATGCTGGGATACAGCAATTGGGAGCAGTCTCAATTCAAAATGAGATCATATACTCTTATTAATTGACATTGCTTGTTGACAATAAGAAAACATCTCTATCATTAAGTATTATTTCCGAGCTTTATTAAAGCAATTTCAGTTAGTGACTTTATTTCCGGAAGGACCCAGACTGATCAGATAGTAGAAAAATACGTTAGGGCAGCTTTAATCATTATTTCAAGTACCGAATGCAATATTGTTGCCACTAAAAAGCTAAAAAAGTTTATTTTCTCCTCCTCACACTTTCTCATTTTTACGCCTCCTGAGTCTCCCACTAATCTCTGCTTTTCCTCACAAGTAGCTGATGTATTAATCTACAGAAATCTCAAACCAGATAAAATCATGGGTTCAAAGACAAAATTTCTTTCCCAAGTGCATAATTGTTGGATGCCTCATCAAGTTATAATTTATAGCCGGCTAATTTTCTAAGGCTTGCTTCTTTAGCCATTGCCCCAGTCCAGTCCTGCAGGTATGACTAAGACCAGACATTGTATGCCACGGCTTCAAAGACCACGCCACGCAGCTCACGGGGTCAGTTGCTTCTTAGGAATACTGTAGAAACCATCCTCCTCCAAGTCCCCATTTTGTTCATTTAAGCCAGAATCACTGAGTCCTGGGGCATATTTGTATGGTTTTTATACAATTTATCTATTTCTGTGCATTCTCTCCCGACACCTCTGGAACTTCCGCACCTTTATCATTCGAAATGACTGGATTTGGTGGAAGCAGTTCTATTAACAAAGAGCATTACAAATGAGCAATAGTGCTATAAGGAGGTACACTCCTGCTAATGTCTATTTGAATTTTTGGGACTTGGCCTTTGTACCTGTGAAGACCATCTTCTCATGGAGCTGTTGATTAATTGTAGTCTACAGAAGAGACACCGTCACCTCACATAGAAAACATACAGGACTTAACCCCATCGTTCAGTTGCGTGTATCAATATAGTTTGGATGGTAGATACATAAAAAACCTAAACTTCAGAAAAATCAATTCTGTAGATTGAAAGTACCTGTCGTTTTAGGGAACTGAGCAACCGCCCATGCCAACTGTCTGTCTTTACAGAAATATCATCCTGTATGTCTCAAAGCTCAAAAAAACCCCTGAATTCTTGTTGCATAAATTAACTGTCACTTCTTTCTCTTCTCCCCTATGGTCCTAAAACAGCAAGTTATTTATATAGCATTCATCTACTGAAATTTGAATACAGGAGAGATTTCAGATATAATTCAACCTTGCCACCGTGACCCCATTAAAAAATTGCAAAGATTGCAGAGAGGTGTTAAAATTCTTTGTTCCCACCCCCATATCGCCATTAAATGCAATGC